ACATTTTAAAGTTAAATTATTACTAAATATAGAAACATAGAGTATTTTTTTGAAACCGGGGACAGAGGGAGTACTATTATATTTTTAAGTTTATATATTATTATTTTTTCAATATGCCTATATATGAAGTTTGTTGCAAAGGGTCTCTCAAGTTCCTTGATAAGTCTTTCCAAGAAGCTTAATAAAAGGGAATTCTACTCGTTATGATATTCGACGAGAGGGAGTTGCTCGGATGGTAAGCACCTCTCACTTCCAACCCAAAGGTTGCAAGTTCGAGTCATCAAGGGAGAAAAAAGGGGTGGGAGCTCCTAGGGAGGGTAAAAGAAAAAAATTTATTTATTTTTCCTTTGTCAATGTTAGGTATTTAAGAGTGCATTTTGATTTTTGGGAAGAAAATGAAGACCTAATATAGAGGAAAATGTGAAAGAAAATTTTGATAAGGATTAATATCTTACCATACAATTTTCTAAGATGGTACACTTTCACTATCAATATGAAACATTTTGTTCAAGTAAACAATCGACTTTTATTATTAAAATGAGAAATGATAGACACAACAACACATTCTTTGGAAAGTCCACAAGTAGTAGTCCGTTTAAAAAAGAATAGTGTCGTTTTTCATTTTTTTGCAATTCCTCAATTTTACCTCTTTGTATTTGACATGTTTCAGATCATACGATTAAGAGGTATTGATACATTCTACATATCTTTAGTTGAAACCATAAAATTCAAAAATTATTTTTATTTTTTAAAACTCCGTATCAAATCAAAACCTGATAATAAATTAAAACAAAATGTGTACCTTCCTATTATAATAAAACACACATAAAGAACTTTGGAAGTCTTGTGGATAAGAAAAAAGAGGCACACTCATCGTCAACCCCAGTCAATTTTTATTTTGAATTGGTCGTATGTCATATAGTAACATGATTAATATTGAATAAGACCCATCATCAAAGTTGAGTCTTTTTTGCAAATGCAACATAGTTTCTGAGTAGACAATTACATGACCTATTGGATGTTACTATAACAAATAGAGAATTTTATGATAATTATGTAGTAATAACTAATAATAATAAGAATATGAGAGTTTTACACAAAATTCATAATATTAAAAGCTAATTATATCACATTCTTACTCTTTTCCAAATCACAAAATTCCTTAAATTTGGTGGAATCCGGAATCATCCCAAAACGTCTCAATACATTGCATCCTATTTCGGATACATTGTTATTTTGGAGCTGATGTTAAGTTTTGATGATTTAACAAACTTAAAGATCTAACAAGGAATCAGATCCGTGTTATTGGGACTACTGACAGTGAAATGAATGAATAAACTCAGTGTGAGGAATATTTGTGTGTCATCATCAAAAAGGAGGAAAATGTTATATTCTAGGTGTTTTGATGATCCTCACAAATTCAGGGATCTGGTCCCTGGCTGAGTTCTCTCGTCTAGATCTATAATGGGGTACAACTGTAAAGCTGTTGTGTCATAGGTTGCTAAGGCGTCAGCGTACTACACCAATCAGAATGGACGAAGTTGTTTGTCCAATGGTCAATAACTCTTTATGGTTGACTTAGTCAACATGACAAACAACAAATTAATTCATTAATTCAAAAGGAGAGAGAGCCAACAAGTCTTCTCAAGAACTCACCAAGAAAAGTTTGCAAGGGACTTGGTCCCTGCAAGACTGCGTATGTGAAAGGACGACAAGACAGCTGTCAGAAAAGGTGCTACTTCTGATGTAGTAGGTGCACGTCCTTCCAGAGAGGCAAGCTCTCAGCCAATTGGCGGTCCCACGGAGTTTGTGTTCATTTTAATATAATCTCTTTCAACAAAACAAAAACTTAAGATTTGGCAAACAAAACTTGGATTTTCTCTGAAAATTCATAAGCTTGAAAAGAATGTCATCTTCAAGGAAGAACATTGCTCATATCAAAAAGGGACCAGATGGAGTACTGAAGAGTCTTTGTTATATTTAGAGTTTTGTGCTATTCTGCCTAATTTCCCTTCAGTAAAACGACTATATTTATATGTATGTATCGATATTGTATGAATAATATTCCCCCGTCCCATTTTATATGAGTTATTTTGACTTGACATGCAATTTAACAAAGAAAGGAAGAGTTTTGAAACTTGTGGTTTAAAATAAATGATAGATATTTGTGTGGTTATAAATCACTTCATTAAGGATAAATATTTTAAAGTTAAATTGCTACTTAATATAGAAATGTGTTATTCTTTTTGCGACTGACTAAAAAAGAAAAAACAGTCATATAATTGGGACAGAAGAAGTATATATACTAATTGTGTATATATGATGTATAACTATGTATTATTTTTGGTTATAATTGATAATTGGTTGTTTTGGATAAGAAAGTTAGACTCAATAGAGATTATGCTTAAATTTTTCAATTAATTTTCCAATTAAGTTTTATAATTGAATTTTCGGATAACTACGATCCCAAACACTTTAGTCAACTACAAAACATATATGTTGTAAATACTTGTACTAAATATACATAAAATATACATGATCCAAGGTATGTAATTTGAGTTTAGTTGAAACTTTACACAATTATATAATTAGAGTTTGAATAATATATATTGTTGGTGTAAAATTATATCTTTTGCACAGTCAGATAAAATGTAACTCTTACCATCTATTATAGCAGATTAACTAATAATGATCTCTTAACTATCATACTATTTCATAACTCTTTAGTTACATAAAATTTTCACCTTGCATTGTTTGACAAAATAAGCGAACTGATACATTAAGTTTTCGTCATATGCAAAATTCGGAGAAGGACTAGACTCTTAAGACATAAATGACTTGCGTATAAGCTAAGTTATATTATCAATTAATTAGTACTATATTTTAACTTAACTGTTAAGTATACTTGTCATTATGTAGCTACGTTTCTTTTTGTTTACAATTTGGTCATGTCGACAATATGGTCCGTGTGTGAAGTATTTAAGTATTTGTTTCACAAAATATAATTAATGCCATTACCTAGTTTTGATATATGTTATGTTCACCGACAATGTCTAGGAGCACTTTATAAATCAAGAAAAAAAAATAGAAATAAGATGCAATTGATAATTATATCATTTCTTCCTATAATAAACTAAATACTAGTAATAAGGTAGCACAAGAAAATCAAACAAAATTTAGGAATGAAAAAGGGTTCCAAAAAGAAAATACTTAGACTTTGCATATATCCACTCTCTCAAAATCTTAGTTGTGGAATCACAATGGATCTAGTACTGTTGTGATCGTTGAAGAAAAAAAAATTAAGAAGAGACATACACCTTATTTGCTTGTATAGTTGAATCTTAATTATTCCATTTTCAGTTATTAAGTTTGTCTATTTTTTAGATTTTAATTTTAATTATTCAAATCTTAATATTCTAAGTGTTTCTTTTTCTGTGTTTGCAATCACAAATAGAGTTTTATAGAGAAACTAAATAGGCTAAAAATATTGGAGCTTGAGTCCAACAAGGTATAGATTCAAATTTAAAGTTTATCAATTCGATTTATTCCAATTTAAAGTTTATCAATTAGATTTATTTAAATTTAAAGTTTATCAATTAGATTTATTTAAAATTTAAAGTTTATCAATTATCGATTTATAGACATGCTAAACAATTTTAGAATCATTAAGATATTGCTTATCGATTATTGGTGATTGATCATTACTGATTTGGTTATCAGTTTAACAGTTCCAATTTGACACAAAATAATAATAATTGAAAATCATTTAGAGTATGACAGATTGCATCTTGTTCAAAAGTAACATAATCGAAAGTTTGAGACAATAAAAAATAAAAGTATGCAAAACTAAACTTTGAGTTAATTATTTTATATACATACATATAAATGTAATCATAGGTTAACCGGTTAAGGAAAAACATCAAAATATTAAGAATCGATAATCCATAATGAAACTAATCAAAAACCATTATCGAAACAGCTAAATCAATTACCCATCACAGATAAATCAATAAATTCTGGTTAACATTTCAATTCAGATAGTAGAAACAATGTCTTTGTAATATATCATAGTGGCGCGAAAAGTAATTGGAAAGGAAGGCTCTAATTCTGCTATCAGTGCCACATGATTTCATTCATCTTTCAACTTTCCAATCCCCAAATTGATGCGTGACTGAGTAGGTCAAATTAGGAAGAGAGATACAAAATCAACGGTGCCGGAAAGTACTTCTGACTGAAAATTCTCAGGCATTGCATCGGCCATCGGCGATCAGTCTATATTGCATAAACTGAAAGAGGTAACAAACTGACATCTCTTCTCATCCCTTGGGATCCACATTACACACATTTTCCACTTCTGAACCCTGCTGTGATCAACCTGAAAACAAGTTTTATTGCATTATGAATTCTATGATGATTGACAAGGATTGAATTAGGAAAATGGACTTTGTCTACGTAGAGAATAGCAGAAGAAAAATATAATTGGGGAAACGTTCGGCCAGTTCAATATCGTTAAGGAAGATTTTGGGTAAGAGAATGCCTAATGTCATCTCTATTTTTACTTGCCTAGATGCTTCTAGAAATTATTGTAGATGTATAAATCTGGATAACTTCATCTTCTAGCTATGAATCTAGAGCTTTTAGATCTAGCTTTAAGAGTAGACCATTCTAGAAGCTTTCATAAAAAATCTAAGTTTTTTTTGTAGTTAAAAAAAATTAACTTTAGTTTTTTTCAGTTTATTTGTTGAATATCTTTAGTCTTTACTACTGAGAGGTGGAGAAATTTGGATATGCAAAGGGAGAAACTCTGGACTTGACACTTTTAGATATGTTCAACTATTAAGGTGATTCCATTGCACTTTTAAGTTTTAAAAAATGTGAGTTCAGAATTTGATATTTTAGCAATTTTTAACTGTAAATCTATGCTCTGTAACTGTAGTAGAAGAATTCTGTACAACTCTTTATTTAGAAACATACCATAGAGAAATACAAGTAGTGAGTAATAAATGAATGCAACATAAATCAACCATTTCACAACAAACTAATACAATTGCAACAAACTAACTTATTGACCAAAAAAAAATGAACATCTATATTTACTCTATTTTAACCTGAGATAACTGAAGATTGGTCTCTCTGGGACATTTATGCACTTGACAAGCCAACCAATTGGCCAAGATGCAGCTGCAAATCCAATGCAGATTCCCCATTGACCCCAATTCAGCCTCTCTGTATTTGCAAACTTCTTTAGAAACTCCACCATCACCACTTGGAGAACCAATGTTATTCCGATGATTGCCATGAACAGCTTGTTCTTATATATTCCCTTAAAAACATTCTTCTCCTCCATGTTTCGCGCGTTGAATTCATTGAACACTTGGCAAAGAACAAACGTGTTGAAGATCAACGTATCGTTTACTCTCTTGCTGACACCAAAGATTGATTCTCCTCTGAATTGTAAGGTCAGTAAAACAGCAATCTGATATAAGGCCTGAGCCATTAGATTTCTCCACATAATGTTGGTGATAAGCGGTGCAGTCCTACCGACTGGTTTCTTCTTCATGAGTTCCTCGGTTGGCTTCTCTGTCGCAAGTGCTAATGCCCCTAATGTGTCCATGATCAAATTTACCCATAGCAACTGTACTGCTGTGAGTGGTACCTCACCAGATGAAACAGCTGCTACAAAATTGATCACGAGCGCAGCCACGTTTACTGTGAGCTGAAATTGGATGAATTTCTGGATGTTGTTATAGACACACCTTCCCCATTTCAAAACTGTGGCAACTGAAGCAAAGTTATCATCCAAGATGACAATATCAGAACTCTCTTTAGCTACTTCAGTGCCCTGAATCCCCATGGAAAGTCCTATATCTGCTTCCTTTAAAGCTGGTGCATCGTTCGTTCCATCACCTGTGACCGCGACCACATGACCTTTCTTTCTCAAGCACTGCACCATTAGAAGTTTGTCAAAAGGGGATGATCTTGCCATCACGCATATCTTCTCCACTCTCTCCATCCGTACTTCATCTGTTAGGTTGCGAAATTCTTCACCTTCTATGACTGCCCCTTCATCTACTTCCTGATTAGGATGAAGAATTCCACATTCTGTTGCTATGGCTTTTGCAGTGAACACATTGTCTCCAGTGATCATCTTGATGTTCACACCAGCACTTTGGCAAGCTTCCACTGCTTTCTTCACACCTGGTCGACATGGATCTTTTAGGCCAACAAAGCCCAAAA